GAGAGGATTCCAGCCTCCATCCACAGCGAAGCCGCGAGATGAGAGGATTCCAGCCTCCATCCACAGCGAAGCCGCGAGATGAGAGGATTCCAGCCTCCATCCACAGCGAAGCCGCGAGATGAGAGGATTCCAGCCTCCATCCACAGCGAAGCCGCGAGATGAGAGGATTCCAGCCTCCATCCACAGCGAAGCCGCGAGATGAGAGGATTCCAGCCTCCATCCACAGCGAAGCCGCGAGATGAGAGGATTCCAGCCTCCATCCACAGCGAAGCCGCGAGATGAGAGGATTCCAGCCTCCATCCACAGCGAAGCCGCGAGATGAGAGGATTCCAGCCTCCATCCACAGCGAAGCCGCGAGATGGGAGGATTCCAGCCTCCATCCACAGCGAAGCCGCGAGACGAGAGGATTCCAGCCTCTCTCCACGCTCACTCACTGCAACCTTCGGCGTCCGCCACGAATCCGTCCACGCAGCGACATCGTAGATCTTCGGCAGGGCCTTCGCAAACGGAGTTGTTCACGCACGCTATCGATTCCGTGCACGCACCTCCAGGCAGTACCTCTGCAAAACGAAAAACGATCGATCGTATGAAATCGGCGCCGTAAGTTGGGCGTCGGACTGGGGCGTTCGAAGACGTCTCACTGCAGAAACTCCCTTCTGCCGCGAATCCAGGTTTGCAATAGCATTTCCTGTCGCAGTCGGCGTTGTTCACGCACGCGGACGGTGGCAGACAATTCTCTCCGACTGGAACCTCTGTGCGGGGGACGAGAGCGTGGACGTTCACGGGTGCGTCGAATGCCAGAATTTCATTCAGCAAAGAAAATTAAAATTTCACGGTGGTTTCTCTTGAAAGTTCAAACACATCATTGCAATTCTCCCTGAATAGAATTCCAGTTTTGGAACGTTGACTCACTGCAGAGTCCAGCTTCTTCCACGAATTCAGCATCGCACAGGCATTGCAAATTCTCAGCAGTTCCTCTGCATGTGGCATTATTCACGCACGATTTGCTATCGTTGCATTTCCCTCCAGCTCGAACCTCTGCAAGGAATACGAAAACGACGAACAATATTCGTCACATGTATTCGCGACACAGTACTAGTAGTGGAGGACCAGGGGCGTCCTACTTTTCCCCGCGATTTCTTTCTCACTGTATTTACTTACTGAGATTACTTCCTTCTTAAGTAAAGACTTACTGCAATTACAGCAACATTCACTAGTGAAAAGTGGTCGCGGGTGACTCGGGATGAGACCGACAGTTGTTTTCGACTTTCCCCGGATCAGCAAAGGCAAATGTGTTTACCATGAAATAAAAGGGAATTATATTCCAGAACGAAGGCATGAATTAGTGAAATTAACCCATCCGCATCGAATGACTAGTCGACCTCTCTGTCCTAAAATTCTGCTACTGTAGCCTGACCCGTGAGGCCTATAAGCAATACCTTTTCAGGCCATAGGCTTTGCTAAAGGATACGGAACGATGTGCACCAGTACGTCATTTGATAAGGGTTAGATACTCATTGAGGTCATGACAAAATGAAGTCATGACTTCCAGTGGGTATTTCCACAGAACAAAACACGTCATTAGATATAGAAGGCACTAATTCATTTCGAGACAAAGGTGAATGCCGTCCACAATGGGGAATCTAACGATGGTCTTTTTTCGAAAATCGAACCATCAGAACTTCTACAGATACGGTCATCCCTCTCAGGCATGAAAAGGCAGAACGTTTTAGAACACAGTGGACATGGTCGTCGCATTTACAGAAAGCGCGCCGACCGAGTTCGCCCTCGTTGCTGGACCTCCTGCTCGGCACCTCCAATTGTTCAGAGAGCGCACGGTCAACAAAGTAGAGAGCAGATCGCTCTCTACTTCGGTGACCGTGAGGAAGTGTTTTTTAGCAGGCAGCAGAACCATTCCCGGAACCATCCTAATGAGAACGGAGACGTTCAAGAAGTATAGAATGGGCAAGAACCATGACATGATGGAACATAATGAGGATCTATTCGTCCTTCTTTATACGATGGTACCGTATAGAGATACTGAAACAGAATGGAAGCGTTTTGGCTGGCAGAACATCCTCGAACCATCTGAATGTAAAGCAGAGATGCTCAATAAAGCAGAAAGAAGGACACGAATCATGACTTGTTGCTGGAAGATACTTGCTCGTCGCGAAACAAAGGTGGAACCTGGACGGTAGGGAAAGATGAGTAGCAAACTAACCCGGAAGCAGTGCAGATTGACCCAGAGTTCTTTATAAGTCGAAATGTCAAAGCGCAGCGCAGGCAGTCTATAGACATGACCGTGGTAGTATGATGAGTCAACTTCCGGTGGGCAGAAAAGGACTGCTCAAAACAGAGTGAACCAACAGCCTCCTTGGATCAAGCCCTTCAAGATTAAGTATGCTACACCACCTTTTTTCTGGATTTCCAGATTTGGCGAGGATTATGATTGCCCTCGAAATTGGGGATTTGGGAACACTTGACTCAGAGAATGATTGTTAAACTCTAACCTATAATTTTTGCTCTTTGCTTGTATGTTATACATAAAAGTACCTCACTGCTTCTTTCGGTACTACATCAGTGCTTCAGACTCTGAAAAGCAACACCTCCAAATGTGAGACGAGACTAGAAAGCTATTATAATTCAATAAGAGAAATCGCTTGGGTAAGCTTTTCGCTTGGTCTGGTGTTTCTGACATCCAAAAATATTTTTCAGTCTTGAAGTACTTGATATAATACCCGACACTCATCCAGTCCGTCACCATTGGTGTCTGGAACTGGCAGTGGAACGAGACGAGTCCAGCGCCACCTCAGAATCGGTCGTCATGTTTTCGCTCTCGGCCTGCAAATTCAATTGGCAAAGAATGGTCCCCAGCCTCGTACTTCCAGACCCAAGAAAGTACTTGTCCGTAAAAGTGGGAAACTTGGAGGACTCGAAGTTCTGGACAGATGCATCAGGTCTCAAAGACACTGTGTGAACGCTGACGGGTTGTGAGTGGGAATAATGTATGGGACACATGGATGGGAATTGTCTTTCATCCCAAAAACATGGCGTCGAAGGGCCTAAGGGTTCGCTCCAGTAACTACCTAGACAATCCAGTCTAGTTATCCATTTATCCATAGTATAAACATGTGTACGATGTCGAGAGTTTCCACGATTTAAACCGCAGGGTATCGAAGGACAGCACGCGTGCACTCTCCGTTCCGCATCGAAGCTCTAATTATTTATACTAGCGAGTTTGCCTGAAGGGCGGACAAACTCGCTTTGGACCCGCCTTCGGCGAGTCATGATCAAAGAAAATTACTTGTGCATTTACGAAGTATTCGTTTTCGTAGTGCACCTGTTATGATGCAAACCCCTTGGTTAATGGGCTTGACTATTCTCGCGCCTTCGGCCCTCGCAACTTTAAAATGAAGTTGCTTCAGAAAATGTTCATAGTAATGTCATTTGACTCCCAGCATGAGAATCGCCAGGTAAAAATTCAGTGCATCATTAACAGTTTTCAATATCGAATTTTATTCCTGACTGTGGACGCCAAACTCTGCTATACATATCCTCTTCCAAGCTCATTACTTCAGCGTTTTAACGCAATAATTATTTGTAGACTATGAGGAGAATTATCGTATTTATATATACATTCGCCCACAAGGACTCTAACAAAGTCCCCTGTTCATACAAATGCTCCATATATTCAAGAGAACACGCATCATTGCAGCCCATAGCTATTAACGATACCGATTCGTTGAAGTGTGTGCATTGAAATAACACAGACCTGAGCGCTCATAAGTGGATTAGGCATAGTCATTCTAAGTAACAATGTCGAGGGAAAATCTTCCCACCCGTTTCCCTGCTGGAAAATGCCGTTAAGGTAATTCATTTGCATTCGCAAGCGTAGCGGTAGGCATCAATCTTTGTCCTTCCACTTAGCCTATGACCTAGAAGGGGCATGAGCGGAAAAGCCTCGCACCTCAGGTTAATGTAGCAAGATTCTCGGTCAGATAGGGAGACCTTAGCGCCTGTTCGAAGGTTATAGAGGGTGTCAAAAAAACGCGCCGCCCTTGGAAATGAGGTACCTCCGAAACAGCAGCTAAAACTATGAAACTCCTTTCAACCACACCTCCATGCGTCCTTTGAGCATTCGAAAATTGTTGGGTTGTTATCTGGCCGTTTTGGAAGGAGTTACTTTACAAGAGCAACTGGAGTTTTCTTTTTGCACTCACTCGCACATGTCCCCCCCCCCCTCTTGTAAGAGAATTGAATATCACAGTCCTTAGATTCTGCTTGTAATCTCCATTGCAGGGAATCCAAAGTTGGCACAGTTTTGTCTTCGTACATGCGATACACGGTCCGTCGCACGAAGTCGCAGTCCATATCATCAGTTTGTTGAAAACGAAGGTTTCTTGTGGCCCCTCTTCTTTGGTGTTTTTGGTCCCTTATTGGCTATGCGTCTAATGGTGGAGTAACCGACACCAGTTGCTTCTGCCACGCATTTTTTCGGTCCACGTTCTCCTCTCCATTCATTTTACCAAGTGGATAAGAATTATTTGGGCATCTTTTGACATCGGTTTTTTCCCTTACCTCATCCGCATGAGGAAGATGAGGGGGTGTCAACGATGGAATTAGAAGCCACACCCTCACTTTCCATAGGGACCAAAGGGAGATCGTCTTCCTCAGGTCTCGGGCTTTCCCAAGGACGAAACTTCACGAAACTCGGTTCCACGCAAGGCAGAAGTTGGACTACTGAGGAAATAGAGGCTGGAGCTTTTGTTCTTCCCACCCACCCACCATTCTCTCATACGGTACCCTCCCCAAATGGGTCATAAATGGTAATAAATTAACATTTTCGTCATTTGCTAGCTGCTCGGACCCTTTGTCGTCATCCACATGTAATTGCCCTCATCAACCCTTTGTCTGCAACATCGACCGACAGAATTATTTGAACGTACAGGCTATAACGGTGAGGGGGACGTAAATATACGCTGGAGCATCCAACAGCCTACAATGTCGAGACCTTAAGAGTTTTCCAACTTTATCTCCTTCAATAGAAAAATGTGTATGAAAAACCAAGGCCAATTCAATAAAGAAGTACAAGGACATCGAATAGATAGAAAAGGCCAGCACTGGCTGGTAAAATAATGCGCATGCATTGCACCATGTAGGTGTGAAACCTTGTCCTACTAAGTGGACTTGGAAGATTCCTGTATAAAACACAATTGCCTTCTACGGTGCAACATGTTTATTCAAGATATAGAAATATAATTACAATGCCATAGGCGTTAGGAAACATTGGTAACGCCCTTGTCTTTCACCACAAAAACATGGCGTCGAAAGGCCCCAGGATTCGCTTCAGTATCTACCTTGACTATCCAGTCTAGTTATACATAGTATAAAAATGTGTATGATGACGAGAGTTCCCACGATTTTACCCTTTCAGACCTGGCGTCCGTTCCAATGGACATAGCATTTTCCTTGAGTCTGTTGGAATTTATTTGGATTCTCGTGACTTTCGCCCCATATTACACTACAATGTGCACAATAATGCATGGCTCAATTCCATCGGAAGCCTTCTTTCACCCGTCAGGTTTTTTATATTCAAGTGTCTAATTAATTCCACAATATACATACTATATGTTACATTTATATTTAAGAAAATATATCAATATATATGTAGCAGGGACGAAAAATTGCACCTCAAATCCAATCAAAATGGGGAAAGACCTAGAAGGGGCATAAGCGGAAAAGCCTCGCACCTCAAGCTGATGTAGCAGGATCCTCGGTTAGATAGGAAGGCCTTAGCCTTCGTTCGTTGGTTATACCGTGTGAGTAAAAAAACTGCGCCGCTCTTGGAAATGTTGAGGCACCTTCAAAACAGCAGCTAGAACTATGAATTTCCTTTCATGCACACCTCTATGCGTCCTTTGAGCATTCGAAAATTATTGGTTTGTTATCTAGCCGTTTTGGCAGGAGTTATTTTACAAAAGCAACTGGAATTTTATTTTTGCACTCGCATCTGTACGCTGACGGGAGGACCTGTGTGGTGGTGGTAGCGGCGGCGGCTGTCGCCCCCAACGCGCGGGCCTACGATACTATGCCATTCTGGGTCATAGGCCAGGCCTACTACAACGCTCTATCTGGCCTATACCCGAGAGTAGTGGTGGTGGTTGTCACGACAATGCGCGAGGCCTACGAGACTATGTCACTTCAGACCATAGCCAGGTCCATAGGGCTATACCATCCTAAACCATGGGCTAGGCCATCCACCACTCAAAGCGCCAATCCATGATCCATGAGGCTTGGCTATTCTGTCATAGGCTTGGCTATCCAACGCTTTTAGCGCCAGGTCCGTCGGGCTATATCAGCATCGCTTCCGTGCAATAGTTTTCTGTTTGCATTTCATGTCATGACCGATTTATTTGACTGTGTTACACCTTACACCGCCGAACTCGGGACATTTTTCATGTCATCTCAATAATTACAGTCGTTTGCCGCAGCGAACCCTGTCAGGCTGTACATTTTCCTGTAGGGAGGGGCCATTTGTTTCATATTGCTGCTGCAACTCACACTTGATACTGAGGCTCTGAAAGTGTTGCTCACTGGTGCTAATGTGGGGGCGAGGCAATTTCAAGAATTATTCATTAGTATTGTGTGGCACATGCGCTAACTTCTGTGCTGAAGTCAAACAAGTTCTTGGAAATGGCCCGTACCGTTTCAGAATCGTGGTATTTATACCATAAGCTAATGCTAACAACCTGTGAGCTGATCGGTGATGCAAGAGTATTGAATGTGCTGGGACAACGAAATCAACAAAGTCGTTATAAGTCTTATGAAAACCTGCTAAACCTAGGCATTCACAATGGCGATTGTGGCAATGCGCTCGAATATCACGATGATGGTGTTTAGGAAGAAAATCTCCCCGTATACTGTAAGCTGTATGTGTATAAATCTAATGAAGCGGTTCAGTTCCGAATGGGTAACGCGATGAACAGAGGATGTCATGGACACGTTATGCTCACAATAGAAGAATCAAATTTCCGCCTATGAGACGGCCAGCGTAGCGGCCGCAGCCCGCTAGTCATTTCTAAAACATCCTCAGAATCAGCATCAGTCACTCACGATCGTCTGTCCATCCATATACTACCAGTACGTCGGATACAATACGCTAGGAGTTTTATGGTTGGTGTAGCTTCTAGCCCATGAAACTTTGGTCCCTCAAGGACATAGGCTAGGTAGCCTATGTCCTGTGATAGCCGATTGGTCTACAAGCCTGAACCATTCCCGAACCTAGGTTGGATGGGAAGGATCAAACAGCTTAATCCTAAAATGTAGAGGTCTCGAACTTTTGCGCGTTATAAAGTAGGCTCTGTGTCAAATTTGACCCAGCTTGGTCGCGTGAGGGTTAACAATATGCGATGCGCCCGCGTAGGTCTGCATTGACCAAGATGCGAATTGAAGATATTAATGCGGAGAAGAGAGTTGCGTCAATTGAAGAGCAACATGAGGCTATTAACGCTGTACGCGTCGAACCTTTATCGACACTCGAATTGCGTTGGCCATGACGCTCAACGTCATTCCAGTCGTTTCGCACGATCGCGAGCCTTTAAAGGTGGAATGTTCTGTCGAGCACGGCTTTTCATTTCGAAGCGAAGAGAGCTACACTTCGGCTGGGTCGTCGTCACGATCGTGTTCCGTTCGAAACCATTGCAGTTTCCGCCAGAATCGAAAACGCTCGGAGTTTTCGCGAGTTTAACTGACAGTACGACAGCGGAAGCGCGTCTGCTTCCTCTCGGTGCAACGGTTGTTGACATTACCGATAACGGTCCTTACATCGTCGAAGCATCTGGCGAGGTCTATCATTTCACTACGACCGTCTACATCCGTTTCATGATTTCGTTCCTCCGCTTAATGAAAATCAGGAACTAGCGTATGCTCAACTCTACGTTCATGATACGGATGAGGTGGTTGAAATGCAGCGGCGCATGAAAATTCGGAACGGAAGTGCGTCACTGTTAATTACCGATGAAGCAGGTGGCATTGGCAAACAATTTCTGTCCACGAATTCGCATACTGCATGAAGTGGACAATGTTTTGAGCGTTGCGTGCCGACTGGTATTTCTGCAAATTTGCAGTCTGGTGGGATGACGCGTCGCACGGCCTTCGACTTGCCAACGGATCTGCTCACGCATGAAACGTGTCGTTCATTATGTAATATTCAGGTGATGTTTCGTCCTAGACCTTAAAATTGGAGCTGCGAGTGTGTACGGAGTCTTATGATTGGGAACGACCTTTCTAACGACAAGCCAATGACCGTGAGAGACCCAAGTGCAAATGTCTTAATACTAGGAGGGCAATGGCTGTTACTCATAGTCGAAGGGCAGCCTAAGGTAGGGGACTAAATGTTCCTATTACATTTGAACACCTATAGTAGAGGTGATCATGGGTGCATCGAGTGGCTGCGTTCACTTCATGCCTACAGTTTCACACGTCAACCTAAGTTAGCACACCGTTCCATCTTTGCCAACGTTAATTCCCTATCGAGGTTACCTACGGTACGACCATAGACAAGTCTCGGGGACAGACATTTCATCAAGTCGGATTACTATTTACGGAGCCACGAATCACATTTGTACATTGCCTGCTCGCGAGTTTGCCCTGAACATTCGCCCAAGTTTCAGGTTATCGATGGACCGAAGCGGAGCAAAACTGATGCTGGCTCTGTTACCGACGATATGGTCTTTGAAGAAGCACTTCTCTGTTCGTCAAATCCGTTCGTCGGGACTATTTTTGTTCATTATGATACAGACTTTCTGCTTCGTTCTCACGTTTGTCCCGTTTCTTGATATTTCGTGGTTCCTGCTATTTTTCTTTACTCATGTTGAACTCATTTTGGTTATAATTTGCGCATATTGGCAGATGCAGCACGCTGTGCCTCAGCATAACTTGGATGCGCATATGTTCCATTGTGAGCTGTAGATTAAATCTGGCAACTGGAATTTGGCTAACACTATTCTTAGTTGATGAACAGTGACAAGAAAGTATATAATAGATATCTGTATGGCCGAGTGAACACCGCTCTGTGACCTTGACCTTCGAAAACAAAGCGCCGATTCAAAACTGCGGCGAAACGTTTCACGGAAACGCCTTAACAAAATTCACCTTCAGCGAAGCACGACCGTTTTTGTTGGTGTATTTTCTCTCCACTCTGCTGGGAAAACCTCGTTGAAAACTCATGAGGTCTGCCGGATCCCTCATGAGGATCCTATGGGACCTCATAACTTCATGAGTTTCTCGTGAGAAAGTGATGAAAATCTCAAGAGGATCTCATGAGATATTTCCTGCAGTGATGTTCATCTGACGACGCGTTTTCATGTTTACCCAATTCCTATCGGCAATACTCTGAATCCTAAATAATAAGTAATTGTGAATTCTCGTAATTAAATCACTTGCTCAGTTCCGGTATCAACATTGGTTCTGATTAAAAAAAAAAAACTTTCCAAGGAGATGTGGCTTTTGACCATATGAATTCATTGAAACTCATTCTTCAAGATACTGTCTATTATTCCTTGGAGAGATGCTAAGAGTTCCTCACTGCTATGAACCTTATTGCTGAGTTGCGAAACCTTTACTAGCCGTGGTAAAAAAAAAAGGAAATAGCTGTGCCCTCTTCGACTCCGACAGTTGGAAGTGCATGGAGATATAGCATGCCGTTTTTGAAGCCACGAAACTCACTGCAGATGTCAGCCTCTTCCACGTATCCTGGATTGCACATGCAGGTCCCGTTCCCTTGTGACCCCAGGTTAGCGACACAATGGGAATTTGGGTCGGTGCAACCTTCTTGGCAATCGCCCCCAAGTGCACGAGCACCTTCTCCGTCTAGGAAGAGGTAACGGGTTTTTCATTAGCGGGAAATTTTTAACGCCCAATCCGGGGGGCATGTTGATGATCCTTGTTCGTAGACGCTGAATTGCAGAAATGATAAATGATTCAAAACTCTTCCAAGGTCCGGTGCGTCCTGACACGAGTTCGAATGTTCTGGGAAACATAAACGCCATCTTATGCCAAGTTCACGTACTGTATTAGGTACCCGAACATCTGCGTCTGCAACGTACTAATGTGTGCGTCTGGTCCACATCCGCACAGAGCTACTACGGTGGCACAGATGAGGACCCGAAGGACACAAATACGTCCACATTTTTAACTCCCTTTGTACGTTTCTGCTTCGCTATGTCTTTACAAAATTTTCCTGGACCTTATTCTCTGATAGAGAATTTGCCCAGCGCACCTTAAGGACTTTAATGCCAAGAGCTACTCAATCACTCTGGTACTGAAGTTTAATATGCACTCACAC